CATCTACACCGGGAACTGAAAGTTGGAGAAGGAGGAAAGACAATGCACATTGCTAATTCCCTATTTCGGTTCTGTGCAATTGGTGTCTTGGCAACGGCGTGCAACATATATGCATAACCTCCCTGATTTCAGAAACACATATCAGGGCAGCGCCCAGGAGCTGTGGCATACGAATGCATAATGCTAACTTGCCTTCTCAGCTCTTGCTCAGCTGGATCTCTGTTCTTAAATGAACTGCCCACATCACCTCCCCAACAAGGCTACCATATCTCCATCTAGAGCGGCTGGAGCATTGCGTGCAATCGCGGAAGGAAGTGAGCGACCTGACAGTAATTGATAGCACTTATAGCTTTTTTTTTTTTTTAACAAATTAGAGTTAGGGGGGGAAAAAGGCCAATGACTGCAAATGGTCAAAGGAGAGAACGTACAATATAGGAGGCACACCGGTAATTGAGATGCCTCGTAGAATTCAAGCTGTGATAGATTGAAGGCAGCATAAAATACTAATCACTGATCCGCAGGTAGGCCTGTTAATTTCTGGTCGCTCATTAATTGTACAGAGCTCTGCCATAGTCGGGTAGGTGCAGATACCATTTATCCACTAACAATTCTGCACAGGCAAGTTGTTTCTGGGCATTGGCTACCAACGTTAATGTCTTCCATACTTGAGCCTCCAAAACAAAGCTCTTGCGGTAATTCAAGGCGCATCTGCTATTCGTGCGTCAAAATTAAACGTCTAGAGATGCCTCACTCAAAGATTCTACATCTGCCCTGTTCTGGTAGCGGCCATCACGCTACCTACTGATTTTAGACTAGTTCCTCCAAGTCACATCTCTTGTTGAGAGCAGAGCTTTTTAAACGTGAAAGCACTTTCCAATTTGTCGAGTAGAAATAACCCAATGTGAGATCTTGAAACTGATCATTGACACAATTGAAGAAAGATTTCCGAACGTGGCTGGTGATTGGTGTGATCAAACCCAGAATGATCAAGCCCAGGCTGATCAAGCTGCAGGTTTAACCCCCACATCACTCTGAAATACGAGCAAGATAAGGTCTGTTCCAGCAAAAAACAAAGATCGCATCGCCCTCCAGGTGCCTCCTTTGGGCTATAATGATCGCCATGTGCGTGCATTGCGACACATGGTCCCATAGAGCAACCACTGGCATCAACCTATAGCCTTCCATAAACCAATTGTAGTTGTAGATGTTGTACGTATTTTCCTCGTTATATTCATCTTCAATCCTACCAGCACTCTAGTCTCGTAAATCAGACCTCCTATCTGCACTCAATGTTTCTGGAAACAGTCAAATTTGAGCAAGATGATACCATACCGCCCTCCATCAGATGAACGCCCCACAAGTTCAAGGTCAATAATGGGATTTTTCCCTCCTCCATCAATGCCAACTGTCAGGAAAGCAAGCGTATCACCTGCCGGGGCCGTCAATGACCCTATTCAAATAATCATGGGCGGGGCTGTTGGAATGTAAATCTCCTCTTTTTTCCGGTACACATCTGTGGCCAGAAGCTAAGAAGGAAAGGCTGCGTTCTAATAGAGAATCTTCCAGCAGCCAAACGCTCCTGGAGCCCACAGCAATAATTCCCCATCTGAATAAGAAATTCGACCAATGGGTGTCAGATTCGATAGGAAATACTGTCGGAAGTAGTTACGGAACGTTGGCTGGAAGCTCGATCTCCGTGAGCAGCAGTGGAGTAACGATGAACCTCCTAGAGAATGGACATACAGTCGTTGGTGATGTCCAAAGTTGGCCGGATCAAGTGTTCGCACTGGCACGGAATTCCGTAGGTCCTAGAAACATAATCGAGCTCTTTATGCATTATTTTTAATGAAGATATGTAAAGGGTGCTTTGATCGTGCAATTTTTGCTGCAATATTTGTTGAATCTTATTCCAATCGTAGGTATAGTTACCCTGTTTACCAAGAATCTTCGAACTAATAAATTTGGAATGTTTAGTTTTCGGCAGGTTCTTTAGGTAAAGATGAGCTTGCAGCAGTCTCTTTGGCCACAATGACTGCTAATCTAACAGTACGAACTCTGACTTTTGGCGTAGTCATACTTTTATTAATGAATTCCAGGGCTATGCCTTCTACCAAGGTCTGTCAACAGCCCTCGAGGCGTTGTGTGTCGAATCATATAGCACCAGGGCCTATAGCCAAATGGGCCTTCACTTTCAACGTTGTGCTATTCTTCTCATGCTTGTTTCAGTGCCAATTGGCGCCATTTGGGCTTTTTCACCATACCTACTGCGGTTCATTGTTCCAAATCAGAAGCTGGCGGACCTTGCAGGGGGCTATCTTCAAATTCTCTTCCTTGGGGCACCAGGATATGCACTGTTTGAAGCTGGGAAAAAATATTTAGAAGCCCAGGGTAAACATAATTCCTCGACAGTGGTTCTTGGATTCCTTGCTCCATTCAGTGCAATGATCAATTTTGCGCTTGTTTGCGATGGATATTTAGGTTTAGGATTTGGATTTTATGGGGCTCCAACCGCTGTTGTTATAACAAACTGGCTTATGCCAATATGCCTTACCTATTACGCAATCTTCAACAGCGATAGCAACTGCTGGCATCCTCTCACTTTTCACGCCTTTACCAACTGGGCTCTCTATTGAAAATAGCACTTCCGGAGGCGGCATCAATTCAGTCACAAGTCCTATCCTTACAATTGCTCACTATATTTTCCAGTTATTTCGGTAACTCCGTCCTGGCAGCACAGTCCATTCTCGCTACATTACTGGGCTTTATATATCAGTTCTCTTATGGGATGTCATTGTCCTCGTGCACGGCAGTTGCACAGTACATTGATGCGGGAAACATTGCCTCAGCACGGCGCTCGGCTTATCTTGCTATTGGAATGTCACTGCTGATAGGGTTTCTTGCTTCTTCCGCGCTTCTCACGGTGAGAGACTATGTAGCCATAGTATTCTCCAGAGACAGCGAAGTTCTCGCTCTTGTGACGTTGACTTTGCCCATCTGTGCCCTATACCAGGTGATGGATGTTCTCTCCAGTGTAACGGGGGCAATCCTGAAAGGACAGGGCAGACAGTATGTTGCCGCGAGGATTCAGGTTCCAGTGCAGTACGGTCTAGCAATGCCGATTAGCATATACACGAGTTTCAAGCTGGAGTGGGGAATTCGTGGGCTTTGGGTGGGATCTGCGGCTGCCGCGACAGCAATTGGGCTGGTACAGGCCTGTGCGGTACTGGTTTCCGACTGGGAAACAGTGATAGGAGGGGCCGCGGGTACAGGTCAGAGGGTTAGCATTGACGATGAGGAGGCTTTTACACCTGCAGGAGATGCAGCAGAAGATTCTGAGAGGGCAACGCTTCTGCGATGCTAGTGAAAGATGATGTTCGGTGCTCGTTTGTACATAGTAGGTGATAGGGATTGTGTAGTCTAGATGGGGGTTTGCGAACATGAGAGCTGCTCCCTTGAAGTAACAGCACCCATTTCCCCTACTTCCCGTTTCAGACTCTGCGGCTTGGCGTCACCCTAGTGTAGTGTGTAGGGGTGGGTCCATCCCAAGCATCCTAGAGCTACTACTGTAGTACCATCAGTTGACAGACAGCTCTGTACTGCAAGCCTACCATCAACCATCGCATCGAGCAACCCTCGCCTGCAACGTGCCGCGCACCAATAATAATACCCGGCACCCCAACAAAGTACACTTGTCGTCCGGCTGGCAGTATGCCAAAGCTCCCACTAACTTCACAGGACGCGTTCCGCCGGCAGAATCTGCTTATCGAATTGTCGGTTCCCCTGAATATCCCACATTTCCTTCACATCAGCCAGCACGAAGAAGACTGAAAACTGACGTCACGGCTACTACAGCGCCAGTCTGAAGTATGCCTGCCCACAGGGAATTTATATGTCTCTTTCTCCACATGATCCTATACTTTGGTGGGGAGTAATGTTCGTTCGCAAAGGTCGCCTCTTGCACTCCAACATGCTGTTGCTGTTGGCTAAACCAGTTTAGGACCTTATGCCTCTGCCATACTCAAGTTTACAGTGCTATTTCCAACAAGCTATCCGACACACCCGCCCATAATAACATTTTTGTCGGACGTCTACCATCCCCTCGTCGTTCCTTCTACTCTTCCTCCTGGCAATACAAACCACACTTTCCCGAATGCCCCAAGCTCTGGAAAATCTCAGAAGCTAATCCCAGCAGCCCAACTTAACTATAACCAGAATATATCAAACCTACCGGCTGGGTCTTTCACTCTAAAGCATGGTTTCCCTACGTGGTATTCATCATCACCGCGAACTACATCATCGTCAGGCAGCAAGAAGCTTCCCCCAAACCCACCACTGACTCCAATAGTACCTTCTGCTGCTGGATCTACAGTCTCGCCACCACAGGAAAAAGAGAAGAGCATTCTCCAGGTGTTACATTATCTGAAGTCCGTTTTCAGTTATGAATCAGTCCTGGATGACATCCCAACGCACTTGGCAGCAAACTTAGGAGCATGGCGAGCTTGGAGGAGTTTTAGAGACGCTGGCAAGGAGGGTGGAAAGGAGGAAGGCAAACTGGTATGGCAGGAGAAAGTCAGTGCATGTGTCCTTGCTAGCCAAAATGATGCTGTATTATATGGGGGGTTGGGTGTTGGCAGAGGTGGCGGGGGCACAGGGAATGAAGAGATGGTGAGAATATCGTTTCCTTCGGAACTTTTATGAACCTGGAGCTGACAAAGTTTATAATCGAAAATAGATGCGGTTTTTAGAAATTAACGACGAGGAATATCAGACCATCAAGGAGATGATTGCAAATAGGGGAAATGAAGCATCGTTATATACCACTTAGACTGCTTCTCGTTCGTTTTTTGTTTCATTCTGACATGAAGTAAAATGGGAACAGAATATGAGATTTTGCGTTCTGGTTTATTGTGAACTCGGGATCATTTCGATCAGAGGGTATGGTAGCCAAATGGGACACTTACTTTCAATAATGCAAGCATGTTAGATTGAGCATCTAACAAGGTCTTATGGCGCAATTGGTTAGCGCGTCCGGCTGTTATACACACTTCAAAATTCTGTATACCAGAGAACCGGGAGGTCGGAAGTTCGAGCCTTCCTAGGACCGCTTCTTTTTTCCTACATCTCAGTTAATCGCTTTCTTGCATTTCTCCACACCGATAAAATCGGATACCCTTGCTTGAGTGCGCTGGATCTGGTGATTTGAGAGATTGAGCATAGTCTCGTGCGCATGGTGCTTGGTGGATCCATCATAGTCTGGGTTGGCCAATGCAATAGTGAACGGTGGATGCTGTAACTCCACGTTGCGCTGAGTCTTCACTTGCACTTGATTCTTTTTGCATTGTCCATACCATATATACAAGCCTAGTCAATAGGCATCCCTTCATCTTGCCCAATGATGGCTCCCGCCGTATTTCCACGCTTTATACTGTACTCACATGCTTGGATATTCTGTTTTCATGCCTGATAATCAATTCTGGAGCACCCATATCCATATTGCTATATTCATCGCTATATGTATACCCTTCCCAGCCCTCCCCCCCCGCCCCCCAACTCTCCCCCATCCTCACTTCACCTTTCTGGAACTCCATACCTTCATTCACACAATCACTCGTCATCGAACTCCGCTCCCTCCTTGATTACCTTCTCGAACAGCGCCCGTCCGCTGAACCAGCCTCTGGTGGGTGCCCCGACGATCTTGTACGTGAAGGCCGCCTCCTCCGGGCCAATTTTCTGTGTCTTGTATCCCCCTCCGGCGGCGGCGTCTGCGAGGAGTTGTGTCTAACAGCAATTTTCCATGGTTATGAACCAGAAGATGGCTTCTTCGATGTCCTGGCCGGTAGTGAGGAGGCCGTGGTTTTCGAGAATTGCGACCTGTAGTTGAATGAAACGGGTACTTCACTACGTAAAATTCGTGAGTAAGGCATCCGCAATCATCCTGCCCTTACTCTCTCCTAGCACGATTCCACCGAACCGCTCATACGCCACATGGTCATCCCAGAATGCACAAAAATCCTGCGTTAACATGTCCAAAGGCCTCCCCATCGCCGACCACGTCCGGCCATACAACTACACTATGCGCAGCGCAATTGATCTCTGGCTTCTCCTTGTGAGCCGCCGCATGGATCATAAACGCGGCCGTGTTCAGCATGCGGTTTGCCCCGCCATCAATCACGTTTCCTGTAGAGTCTACGAGGATCAAGTCGCTCGCCTTGATGAGTGAGAAGTGGAGTCCGAACAGGTTCACCCAAAAGCAGTCGCCCTTTAGGGAGTCACGCACGGTGATGTAGCCCGTGTTGCCTTCGTTGAAGTCGTGGCGGGCAAAGCTCCGGAAGGCGCATGCAAGCGTGGATTTCAGGTGCTTGCGTTCCTCATAAGGGTCGGTAAAGGTCGGGGGGCAGCGAAAGATCGTGGGTTTGGCATCGGGCTGAAGCCGGGAATTGGATGCTGATGGCAGAGGAGTTTGGAAAGGGGCTAGCGGTCACGGTACTGGTACTGGTGATCAACGGGGAGGAGGAGGAGGGGAGGGAATTCTTGTCGAAGGTTTCGACGAGAGAGGCCGTGGGCGGCGGGGGAGAGGGAGAGGACATTGTAGGAAATTGGAGAGGAGCTTGGTCGGGTGAGTTGAAGAACTTGGTGTATCAAGACGTGATAAATTCCCTTTTGTGGGGGTGTATATACAACCCTGAAACATAAAAAATGTATCTCGCAGAATTGAATCACTACATTTATTGTTATATGTATGCTGACCCCACTTGCCTCCATCCCATCTTCAAATCCAATGACATTCTCTAGCTGAGCTAGCTCCCAATAATTAACCATCTCCCTTCATCGATGCCCGGCTGCGGCATACATGCCTTGCCTAGGGATACATCTTACCCCACAATTCAGCTGGGTATATTCCTCGGTAAACCCCCACAAACTTTACTGCCCAGCACCGTCATACGTAAATTCGCCATCATAGATCCGGAAAGGAAGAAAGTCAGTCGTCGGGCCAATATCTACCCGCATCAAGTGATTGATGTTTGCTTCGACAGTCTGTATGTCTCCGTTTTCCTGAATAACTGCAAATATATTCCCCCGAACAGAACAAAGACAGGATTGGTTACGTAGCACTAGGGAGGGTTGGGGGGGGATGTAGTATTGTGTAACTATAGTTACATTCATATAGTTGAAACGATGCAACCATGGAAAATTGTTGGTAACTAAAAGCAGAGTGAAATACCAAGCCAAGAACAGGCAACAAATTGATTTCACACTTTGACAAATGACAAACTTTGACACCAGTTTCACAAGCATTACTCTCCATTATACCAATGATATAAAGTCCAAAAGTAGTCTCATTAATACAAACATCCCATGATATATTCACTTCCTCGGCATATTGCGCAATCCAAAGTGCTTTCATCTCGACCACAGATTCCCTGAGCTGGCGCAATCCCAATCAGGCCATGCTGAAATTCAGGCAGGGGTCAATTTGACATGCACCCCATTTCCACTAGCCAATGTCAATGTCAAGCCCTCGACAAACGTATCGGTAGTCTTATCCTCTCCCATCCCAGGCACCTCTTGTCCCGTTGCCGGATCATATCCCTTGATGTCCTTGAACTGCTGCAATATCCGGATCAGTACGAAGCTTGCCTCAATGAGAGCATATTGTTGGCCAAGACATATCCTTGGACCTCCATTGAATGGAAGATATCCCCATCCAGGCTTCAAAGTGTCCCATCTCTCAGGTTTGAATTCATCTGCGTCTGGTCCGTAGATGTCCTTCCGTCGGTGGAGAGTATAGACGGTGTATGCTACTCTTTGGCCTTTCTCGACTACAATTGGGCTTTTTTCGTCAGGACCACCGCCAACGGGTAATGTAGTCCGCACTCTGGCAGCTCGGCCATTTGATGGAACTGCTGGCAGGAGTCGGAGAGCTAAAAAGTTGCTATTTAGTATTAGACGCTCCCAGTGTTCAGCGAGAACTTACACTCGTTCAAGACATTCTTGAGGTACTGCATGTCCTTCATCAGTTCCCAATCAGGCTTCCCGTTGGCCCCCACGCGCTGGACAACTTCTTCCCTCAATTTATGCCACACCTGACGATTCCTCGCCAAAAACCACAGCGTCATGCTCAGCAGCCCAGCAGTAGTATCCCGACCTGCTAGTAAGATATTCAAAATCTGGTCTGTGAGTTCTACTTTATCTTTTGTTTCCTTAGCTAAAGCTTCGAGGAACACATATTTAGATTTTTCGGTGCTCTTTTCCTCCAGATCCATGCTCAGTGCTTTGTCCACAAATCGGCTTACATATTGGCGTGTGGTTTGGCATGCTTCATGAAACTTCTTGCCTCCAATAAACTTGTTTATGGGTCCTGTCTTCATCTTGATGGAAACCCAGTACTGGGCGGTTTCAAAGGCTTTTGCAAACGTACCCGCTGCATTTTCATCATTCCCTTCTAGAAGGCTCTCGGTGCTCTCTCCAAACAGGAATTCGGTGGCAGAATCGAGGGTTAACTTGAATAAAAGTGGCTGAATGTCAAATACCTTGTCGCTCGGAAGCAAAGACAGAAATCTTTTGGTATGAAAGTCGAGACTATCCAGATCATTGGTGATTTGATTCTTGTGGAACTGAGGCCTAAGCAATGCTCTTGAATGCTCCCACCCTGCTCCCTGAGACTGCACAAATATCCCCTTCATACCCAACAAGGGCGTGAATTTGCCTGTCCTGGTCCCCAGATCAAATTCATCAAACTGCTTGGCCAGGATAGCTTTGATATTCTCAGGCTCGCAGGTGATAATGTCTCTAGCTCCGAGGAGGTTGCTCTCGTACGTATTTCCGATTCTCTCATAACGCTCATGTTGCCCCTTGAGAAACCTACTCTGGCGAAGGTTCCCCACAAGCTCAATTAAGAATGAAAGTCCGAATGGCAGGCGGCCGGGGAATTTCTTCACCGGGAGAGCGCCGTGCTCCGCAGCAAATTTATTGAGCCCATATTGGTAATGTAGGCGTCGGACGAACGAGATGATGAGATAAGCAAGAGCTAGTGTGAGGATAGGATACATTGCTTAATCGTGATGTAGGGCGCACGCCCGCTCGCTTGGAAGCGACGAATTGTGAAATAGAAGGTGAAGATGGGGGACAGCCAACAAAATCGATTGAGATGGAGCTCACAGCTATGAGAAATGAAGTGAAGCGTGTTCACAGGCCAGGAAAACCTTGTTTTCGACTGCGTGGGCGCATTCCTATAAGGACAAGATGAAGCGAATGAAGTCAAGTCACGTAAGCTGAGGTGGGGAAGCTGTGACTATTAATACTTAACAAGCAGAGTGTGGGAGGTGTCAGTTGACTCGGGCGGATACCGGTGGGGGAGTCACCACGATTGGCCCAGCCGGCCTTGCTCTCCAGTGGGATCAGTGCACAAACTCGTCTTGTCCAGCGATTTGAAGGAATATCAGGAAAGTAGCCCTCCCCGCATATTCGATATCCAGCATCTTGCGGTGCCACCGCCCGCTAACTTCTCCGGGCTGGCCAATGTACGCGAGCACTTTCTCGTAACCACCAACACCACTTTGCTAGCTCACAGGTTCAAGTTGTACCGCCAGATACATACCACAGCTGTAGGGGCAGATATCAGTGTTGATATTGGTCCAACAAAGAAAGAGCAAGCCGCAATACTGGGCCCAAGGCTAGCAATGCCTAATCACACCACTTTGCGGCGGAAAGATCGTAGCCAGGCCAGGGGCAACAGGATACTTAATGAAACAGGCGTGCGTGGCAACGTTACGCAGCTGCAGAGCCATTCCTGTCTTCCTACGAGCACGTAGATTACAGTTCAGCTCGATGCATTTCGTGATCACGGGCTCAATTCCCACAACATCCGAGGTTAATAGAAGCCGAGGGGAAAGTGAAGGGCTTCGTAAATATGTAATGCAGAGCGTGCGTATGACGCACAATCGAACTTCGAACGTACTTCTAATATAACATACATCAAAAAACATTAAATACCAAATTGATACATATCGAATTTCATGGACTTATTTCCATGAGGCAGTGCTACAAGCCGGGTGGCGGCCACTGGCTTGCAACTTCTTGAGCATTATTCGGTCTCGAGGCGTT